AAGGAATGATCCTTGCTTATATCAATGATATAAGTGCTGAGCAAGTTGCCTATAAAATTGGCCGTAACCTAACAACAGTACAAAGGTTTTTAAAGAAGTACAAGAAGACCAAAAAAATCGAAAATTTACTATAATCCAGATGTTTCCCCACTTTCAATAAGAGAGAAAAGACTGCCTTATTAAAAAAGGCTATGAAGGAAAAGCATGAGCTATTATGTAACATTGTCAATAAGTTAGGCCTTCAATGCAGTACGTCAACTGCAGCTAAAACTCTTCATAGCTTTGGGGTTCAGTCCTGAGTTGCTGTAAAGAAGCCATTTTTGTCTGCTGATAATATAAATGGATACAAAGAATGATATGATATATATAAAAAAAAAAATATTTATAAGTGGCAGCAAGTTATTTTTTCTGACAAAATGAGTATAGAAGTCAGCAAACAATCCTGTCAAGTTAGAGTGTGGCATCATACAGATGAAAAATATAAACATGAATGTTTGTTGCTGAATTTTAAGAGTAGAAGGGTTTCAGTAATGGTGTAAAGATGTTTTGTTAGGGAGGTTAAAGGTCCTTTGATTTTTTTTGATGATTATTTAAAACCTAAGCAAAGAATTAACAAAATAATCTATACTAAGGTCTTGGAAGACCATCTCCTGCCATTTATTGCTTCTGCAAGTTTATTAATAGGTTCAAATATCATATTTTAACAAGACAATTGTCCTATTCATAAGGTTACAGATTGGCTTGAAACTAATAACATCAAATATATCAAGTGGCCATCAAGATTACCAGATCTAAACCCCATAGAAAACATCTGGAAGGTCCTAAAAGACAATATACAAAGTCGTGAAGACTTTCCAAGAGATAAGGATCAGCTTAAATCAGCCTTAAAAGAGGCGTGGGCAAATCTTGATACGTCGATTCTTCGGGCGGTTGTAGAATCAATGCCCCGAAGAATCGACGCAGTAGCAAATGTATCTGGTCATTCGACCAAATATTAGTTAAATAAAAAAAAAAAAAATTCATTTATATAAAGTAAAAATAAAATAAATCAATAATTTTTATTTTGTTAAAAAATCGGGCGTTACTTTTGCCACCCACTGTACCTTCGTTAGTTATTATATTGATAATAAAGAAAATATTCGCAGAAGTTAATTTTCCGAAATTATTAAAAAACCTATAAAAAATCCTCACATAATAATAGTTTGATTTTATTATTTTGATTATCACATTGAACACCCTAATTACATGTCCTCTGACTGTTAGGGTGTTTCGATCCTATTTGTTGAGGCTATTCGGACTTGATTAGTAAATTCGAATTCAATCAAATTTTATTTATGTTGTATATCTTACAGTTGTTCTCATAAATTCAAGGACAACTTAGAAAAATTGATGCCGATTTCGGTAAAGCGAAGCGATTTTCAAATATAATCGAATTTAATTTTTTTTTTTTTTTTTAATGTGTTTAGGATCATGACAACTTTACATTTGTATTGAGTGAGTTAGTGTCTATCAATTATTATAATAACGGATCTATTCGTTTAAAATTATTGCGCTTTGCAAAAAGATGTGAACACTGCAGATCATTTTGTCATGTGAGAATCGGAGATTTTGCGATTTCAAAGAATCTTAAAGATTTTTTAAATATATGTACTTTAATGTAATATTTCTAATTAATATGATACGTAATTATATTATTTAGTATAGATTCTTAAATTTGAATAATCTCAATGATTCTCCGCCATCATCATCACAAAAATCTCATGTTCACATCTTTTTGCAAAGCGCAATAAAGAATAAGGATATCCACATTAAAGATGCTTGACGAAACTATTTTTAAAATTGACGAAAGATTTCGCCTTGACGATTGACGAAACCCTTGACGATTGACGAAACCCTTGACGATTGACGAAACCCTTGACGAATGGCGAAATCCTTGATGAATCTATTCGACCAATGAAAAATAAAAATACAGTTAACTATCTTTCATCGAATTTTTTATAATTACTCCGAATCTTAAATTTTTTTTTTTTTTTTTGCAAATTATCGTTATTTCTTTATAAGGTTTCACAGGTTCATATGGACGCAGAAGTTTTTAATTGATGATAAACCTTTTTCTTCTAAAGGTTCTTGGACGGGGTCTTTTTTTAATCGCTGATATATATTAACATTTTAGCGTAATACTGGTATGTACATAAATATGAAAAGTAAAGCCCTGTTTAGGAGCTTTTCACCCATCCGATATGAAAGGTTGACTATACAAAAAATTGACAAGCTCATCAAAAGTTAATTTTTAGTTTACATTACGTGAAATCTAATACCAATAATTTTTTTGGTATCGGTCGTCAGTCCCGTTGGATGCTTCCGGGTGAATGACGCCTTCATTGGGAATGTCGGATATGCATCAAAAGAAAAAAAATTTAAAAAAAAATGAAAATTTTGTAGAATATGATGAATGCAAACAAAAATATTAACTTCACGTGCACAAGTATTTCCATTATAAAAAAATAATTGTTCTATGATTCATAAGTCGTTATAGGTTTCCGTCTTAGGTTTCGTCATCAGAAATTGTTTGACGAAAGGTTTCGTCATTTAATCCGCTAATTGTCGAATCTATCCGAATTGGTCGGATTACGGATCAAAGCAATCTACAAACATAGTAGTGAGGATTTTTTGTCGATCGGGTCAAATATATAAAATTCAAACGAATAGAACATCCGAACTACTAAATATACGCTGAATAATTAATTAGGTTTTAGTAATTCTGTTTTAAATTATAAGAAAAAAAAAGGGCTCTATTACTTTTAAGAGAATACCAAGAGAAGTTTACTAGCGTATTTTTAGTAGTTCAAACGTTCTATTCGTTTGAATTTTATATATTTGACCCTATCACTATTAAAATGATCGACAAAAAATCTGGATTTACTATGATCGTTATACTATGTTTGTGGATCATAAGATAGTAAAAACTGTTGTTAATTGAAACTACTAATCGATTTGAAAAATTTAGAACAATTAGGAACGTTACTGCTATCCACCTAGTATTGTATGCAAACAGAAACTAAGATGCCGTAAAAATAAACAATGTGTTTCTTGTTTGAAATCCAAAATCCACGTACATTATTTTCTTAAAAATTGATATAGTTGATCGGCAATCCGGATAACTGTTTGAAATCCGTATTTTTGTGTATCACCCGTAATATCACAATTAAAAATACAGTATACGTAACTATAGTGAGAAAGACTATATCTTGTTTCAACCTTTGTAAAAATCAGTGTCATGAACATGAAATAATTGTGGTAGGGTAAATAATGTTCAGTAGTTCCCATGCCGACAAAGAATACGGTAAGGCTTTCAATTATGAGTAAAAGGCTCTTTATTTTCCCAAAAAGGATTCGTAATGTTTCGAATGTGAATCTAAACATAGACCACCTACGTAATATCGAACAAGAAACTCTCAAAATAGTCATGTAGAAAATGCAGTGTTACGGTCCAATACCGAGGTATTCAGTATCAGGTATGTACTGTACCGGTAAGTATGTAGGTACGTACAGTACCTACCTACGTACCTATGTTGAATATCCGTTTTACCAGGTAATTACATGAAAAACGTTGCTCAAATGTCGTAAGTGTCTTTTTCGGTTATCTCATGTTACACAATCTCCTTAAGGTACATATCAATTCAAAGAAATATATAAATATTTTAAAACACTACAATAAACATAAGCTTCAAACAGGAATTTCATCTAATTTATATATTCATACAAACCAGTTTGAGTACTCTTCATGAATATTATAGAAAGATAATTCGGAAATTTTTGGACAATTTTCGGTTCACAAAAAAAAAAAATAAAATAAACGGTCATGAATATCACTATATGAAATGAGATCATTGTAAAATTTTTATAATGATGACGATAAGATAATTTTTTTTAACTTGCGTACCGGTACGTGCATATATACGTACGCATATACCAGATACTTACGCACGCATATACCAGATACGTACATGCGTACAAGAATTTTTTGTAAAAGAAAGTTGCATTGACTTCTTTTTATGGGACATCACGAATACAAAATTAGTTACGAGCGTCATATTTTTATTAATCTATAATGTAATACGTTTTAATGCAAGTTTATATGCATTAAATATTAATTGTTTGAGCTAAAGTTATTAAAGTTGAACTTTATGCAAGGGAATCATTATTTATACGATATGTTTATTAACAAAGAAAACTTCTAATTTAGTTGACCACCGAAGTTTACACTAGTGCAATATTGATTTAAAATTTCATGTTTATTTTAATATCGATATCATTTATTAATATTACAATTTTATTATTTGTGCATTTATTTATTACAAAAATAAAAATTTACGACCTATCTAGTTAAATATAATTTGAAATTTACCTGTACATTGCCGAAACATCCAGTATTTGTATTTATAATTTCTCAAGGACCCGGATTTTTACTAAACACTGCTGGTAAGACACACTTCGGGAATTATCAAAGTCTTTTCTAATACAATTCTAAAAAATTTCTAATATAAAACTTTTATACTGTTACAAACAAAAAAGAATTATATTGCGTTCATTGGTTTACAATAGTTTACAATAACGTTTTAATTCATATCTCCAAAATAGAAAACTAATGTAACTTTAAGGACCACGTTAGGTCATCTAATGCACTTAATGTGTACATGACACTGTGGAGCGGTTTCACACGAAAGTTAAACATTTATATACTACTTTAATTAACACTAAACTTTTATTGCCCAACATTACCTTTTAGTTCTGTTGGATATTATGTTAAATTCCTCTTTCTAATTCTTCTTATGTCGTAAAACACCAAATCTTTCGCATATTGCATTGCACTGTAAAAAATTTTCACTCTCTTATCATTTCATTCTTCTCTTTACTCATATTATTATATAGTTAAACAATTAATAAAAATAATATAAAAAAAATAAAAATAAAATAAAAAAATAAAAAAATAAAGCATAATGACTCAAAGACGTCCATCGAACGCGTATCCTTGGTTTCAAAGAAAACTTCGTGTTACTAATCCGTTTCCAAGATTTGGTCATTCTACTAGCGATGTCGCAGTTAATAATGAATTATTTATCTTTGGTGGAAATTTTCAAGGTCAAGCAACAAATGAAGTTTTTGTAATCGAAACAAGTAAGCTTAATAATTTTGAATTGAATTAATTGAACTAATTTTATATATTTTGTCATTAATTTCATTTATTAATGTTTTCCTTTTATTTTTCTAAAGGCACGTTGAATGTGCTAAACTTTGTTACTTCAGGTGATGTACCTCCTCCACGAACAGGTCACACTCATGTTAATATGGGATCAAATATGATCGGTAAATATCAATTCTTATCCCTAACTAATATATATCAACTTGTGAAATAATCATAATTATGTTATTTTTTAGTATTTGGTGGATTAATAAAAGATACTAAAACACTCGAACAAAAAAGCGGATGATAATGTTTATGTACTTAACACAGGTAACAATAAATGGTTCAATAAATTTGGCGTTCGTTACTTATAGTTAGTTAATTACAATATATAATTATTAAATATAATTATAAAATTATTTACATATAATTAGAAACAAAAAAGTGGAGTCAACTTTCGGTTCAAGGACCATTACCGTCCGGAAGGCATGGTCATTCTGTCACTATGATTGGAACAAAGATGTATATTTACGGTGGTCAATCAGAAGATCGTTATTTAAATGATTTTATTGTTTTTGACATGGAAAAATGTAAGAATTTATTTTATTTGAAAAGTCTTTTTAGTCGTATGCTTCATTCAATCATTCATTTAATATTTATATTAATATTTCTATAAAATTGTGATTTTTAAAAGATAATTCTTCAAGTGCAAGCTGGGAATTTATTGTACCAAAAGGTTTAACTCCACCTGGAAGAACTGCTCACATAACTTGCGCATATGGAGATAAAATTTACATGTACATAAGTTCTTGATCTTTTTTTTTTTTTTTTTTTACAATTTCGTTGCTCAATTTACACAACATATATTTAAAAATTGTTAGGTTCGGTGGTATGGATGATGAAAGGTGCTACAACGACATGTGGTGTTACGATATACATGACAACACGTGGACACAATTGAGTTGTGTTGGATTCATTCCTTATCCACGCAAATATCATAGTGCAACAATCGTCGATGGAATTATATATGTATTTGGTGGCGTAAATTCAGAAGGTCAAGAAACCAATGATTTAACCTCCTTTCAAATAAGTACTCAAAGATGGTTTATGTTTCAAAATATGGGCCCTTCACCAAGCCCTCGGTATTTACACACAATGAGTGCGACAAATGAAAAAATTTTTGTTTTTGGTGGTGATTCGAAAAAATCGTTAAAATCTGATGAGGATTGGATAATTCACGTTTTAGATACATGTGATGTATTGTTCTTTTATTATTTGTTTATAGTTGATGATATCATTTTTATAATAACGATAACGATAAGAACAGGTGAAACCCGAGATAATTCTGGTTAAACCTTATGCACATTATGTTTTATGCATATTAACACAAATTTACGCAGATCACTAATTTCAAATCCGTGATAAAATTCGGCAGTCACATGATTTACAAACAATTAGTATTAGAATTTTTTTTTTTTTACTTATATAAAATTATGTGACTGCCTAATGTTTATAACGATGTTAGTTTTTTATTCACGGATTCATCCACATATCATTATAAACCAGAATTACGGGTTTCAACCTATTCTTTTATATTTCAACATGCATGAATACTAAATTCTTACCTTTATCGTTATACAGCCAGGATAAAATATCCTAATAAAGAACAGCAAATGTCATCTCAACAACAAATTCCTCAACAACAAATTCCTCAACAGCAATTTCCTCAACAACAAATTCCTCAACAACAAATTCCTCAACAGCAAATACCTCCGCAACAAACAATGTCTTCATTCTCGACTCCTTTATCATCTCCTGTAACCCCTCAAACATTTTTGCAGAGAACTCAACAAATGTCTCCTCAACAAATGTCGCCTCAACAAATGTCTCCTCAACAAATGTCTCCACAACAAGAGTTCATTCCACATTCCGGATTTACTTCGCCTCAGTTACAGACAATGGATCCCTTAGAGATTGATAACTCTCGCCCAATAAAAGTTTTACAAAATATGCGTCAAGGTTCAATTCCTAGAACGCAAAATCCTGATAACAGAGGTCCTCCTTTGGAACATGTAATTCATATGGAACGACAACAATCAAATTCTAGTGTGGATAGTTTTCAAAGACAAACTCCTCCAATTATTTCTCGTCAGCCTCTAACAAATCTAGAACATCAACGCAACAATTCTAATTCTTCTCCAAGATCATTTCAAAGAAAGAGAATTAGTACTGATGGTACTTATTATCCTGTAACCCCCGCAATAATGAGGTTACAATCTCAACATAGTTTAGAGAATATACATGAGAATAATAATGTTAGACAACAAATTAATATGGAAATTCTTGGTAATAATAATAATAATAATAATGGTGCTTTAACTCAAATTCAAAATGCTACTATATACACTGGAAGTCCCGAAATTCTTTCACCAAATGGTTTTAGGTATCCACGTCCTGCTCCAAAACCACCAACAGGATATATTATGCAACCTCATTTATTTGGAAATTCATCAGGAATATTTCAAAATACAATTTATCAAAATCAATATTATCCTAATACAAATTCTTATATTGAAAGTAATATATCATCACCAACTATACCAACAGAAGGTTATACTAGAATATCTGATACAGTTGATCATTCATCATCAAATTTAATGAATATAGAATATAATGAATTTATGAAAGAACTTGAACAAAGAGATAATATAATTCAAATTATGTCAAAACGTGAAATTTGGTTAAAAACTGAACTTTCTTTAGCTAAAAAAATTGGTTATACTATAGATAATATTGAATTAGATAATGATTATGATTCTTTAAAAATTGATTTAAATCAATTATTAGATAATACTGATCAAAATTCGGAAAAATTTTCTTTATTATTAAATATTATAAAGATTAAACAAGAATTAACAAAATCAAAGGTAATATATATATATATATATTATATTCTATATACTAATATATAATCGATATGATTTAAATTATATTTATTTATTTATATTTTATATATAATTTAGGCAACCATAATAAATCAAGCTCAAATAGCATCACAAAAAATTACCGATTCAGAAAGAATAAGAACAGCAGCATTACAAGAAGCAGCATATTTTAAAGCAAAACTTTCAGCTTTAAAAAATCAATCAAAATCAGATTTAATTATATTAGAAACAGAAAGATCAGAAGAATTAGAAAAAACGTTTAACAAATGCATTAAATGAAAAAGAAATTTTACAAATAAAATTTTTAAAAATTCAACAAGATTTAATTAATGAAAAATCTTGTAAAGAATCATCTGAAGAACTTTCAAAATCAGCTTTTAAAAGAGCTGAAGAAGCTGAAAATTCTCATGCAAAATCTTTAATTGAATTAGCTTCTTTACATAAAAGAGCTACATTAGCTGAATCTGAATTAAGAGAAATTAAAAATCAATTATTAAATTCTAATATAGAATTAAAAAAATTTCAAAATTTAAATGATAAATCACAATTACAAATTAATTCATTACAACAATCTATTGATAATCTTAAAATTACTCTTGAAAAATCTAATAGTGCTATGATAACAGCAAGTGAACGTGCAACAGAATCTGAAACTTTATGGAAACAAGCTCAACAAGATATTACAAATTTAGAAAAAGAATCTGCAGGTCTTAGATCTCAATTAGATGTTAGAATGAGAGATTTAAGTCGTTCAGCTGCTAAATCTGATGAATTAGAAAAAATGTTAGAAAGAGAACGTAAAGAAAATTCTGCTATTAGAGAAATGATGAATGATGGTGTAAATAAATTATTAAATAATTCTTTATTAGATGATAATTCTATAAAATCTTCAAATGATAATTCAAATTTAATACAACTTGAACAAGAAATTATTGTATTAAAAAATATTAATGAAGAATCTCAAAAATCTGCTAATGAAGCTACTAATTCTTTAGTAGACGCTAAAGTTAAAATTATGCAAATGGAATCAATTATAATGAAATCAAGAGTTGAAAATACTTCTTTACAAAGACAACTTGCTGAAATTTCTGATGAAGTTATAAGAATAAAAGGAAAATTAACTGAAAAAGAAAGAATTTTAGAAGAAAAATCTCGTATACTTGAAGATACTGAAGTTAAACTTGGAATGATGAGAGATGTAATGTCTGAACGTGGAATTTTAGATGATGGTAGTGGAAATTCTAGTGTTGATAGAATTAAAGAATTGGTAGCTCAATGTCAAAAATTAGAAGCTATGCATGCAAATGATCAAAATGATCTTAAATCATCTATAAAGAAATATCAAGAAGCTTTGAAAAAAGTTCAAGAAGCTGAAAATAAATCAAAAACACTCGAAGAAGAACTTGATCAAACAATTAAAAATTCTGGTAAACAAGTTACTGAAGCTAACGAAAAAATTGGCAAAAGTTGAAAATGATTATAATACTGCCATGCATTATGTTCAAGGAACTGAAAAAATGTTGAGACGTTTAAAAGATGAATTACAAAAGAGTAAAACTGAAGGAATGAAATATAAAACACAACTTGAGTCTTTACAAAAACGTAATGAAGAGTTGGAAGAAAAATTACAAGATGTACAGAATCGAACATCTGTAAGCATCGGTGCTAGAGAATCCAAAATTCATGAATTTGCGAATAAACAACTTGAACTTCAAAGAGAAGATTTTAAAAAGGAAATATCTGAGATTCAAGAAAAGTTGGATCAATCTCTAGAAGAAAAGAAAGCGCTTGAAATTAAATATAAACAAAACAAAGAAGAGTATGATGAAATTTTATCATTGAATGACATGTTAAATCAACAATTGGATGATGCGTTGAGAAATTTAAATAATCAAGGATGGACTAAACAAAAGGAAATTTTGGAGGATCAGAATAAGGAATTAGAGCGCAAACTCCTTGATTCAGAAAATAGAATTACTATTTTATTAGATCAAATGGAAAATATAAAAGATGATAAAGATATAAAAAGTCCAAGAGATTCTAATTTGATAAATGCTTTGACTGATGAATTAGATGAACTTAAATCACATTGGAAAGTTGAGAATAAGGAGAGCATCGATTCTAGGTGGAGTCAATTACCAAATGAAAAAATAAATATTGTTACTCCTTCAACGATGGATGAGTATGAAAACATGATAGATAATTTAGAAAAAGCTGCTATTAATAGGAATACTAATTAAAAACAAAACAAAAAAATATATATATTCTTTTTTTTTAATTTCTCCTTGACAATAAAAGCAATTAGTCTAATTTATCTGCTGGATTCGGAAATCATAATCATTAATCTTGGAATTATTTTTTTATTTATTTTAATTTTTTTTTTAGTTGTATTTGGTGCGA